TACACTGCTCAGGGGTGGATTTTTTACACCCCTGACTGCCGTAGTTAAACCGATCTACTTTTGTAGTGTGGACCAGGCCTTATCGCAAACAAGATACTGTGTAGACACCAGGAGGGTGATGAGCTACTGGTAGCAGAAGAGTAGATTAGTGTTAGCAGATGTTTTCTTGCATGAGTGATCGATGTGTATACAAGCCTCTGGGAAGCGGAGACTGTGTTTGAACTCCTCATTGATCACATAAAGAAATAAGGCAGGGGATGTTTTCTGCTGGAGAGACATCTTGAGTTGATCAGAGATTGAAAGTTGGATAGAAGGCAAAGGAGGGAACCATTTATTGTTCCTGGGGTGTGGTGTGGCTGGGGGAAGGGTAGACGTCTTTTTATTTTGTTATTTGAATTGACTTGCAGTTCACTTGCATGCCTTGTGAGGGTGAAACTATTCCAGCCTTGCTGCTAACTGCACTGAGTGGTTCTGTCAGTTGTAATGTCCTGTCACACTAATTGTAAAATCCAAGTTAGATTCATACCTCTGATGACAGTGAATTTCTAGAGCTTCTGTGGAGCAGCAAATAAGCCCCCACACTGAATTTTTCTGTTCGGATAACTCTCCTGTCTCAGGTTTTTGAAGGCAGTCGGCTGATGGCGTCTTGCCTTCCAGCATACCCAAGCTCTGCTGTTATTTGATGTAATGACGTTGCTTGTCATATGCTATTGCTTACATATTTTCTTTGAGAACAGCAGCATAAAGACCACGGGAAGTATCCAAGATTGTGATTTCTTCCCCCACCCCCATGTAAATTGACAGATACGAAACTTTATTTAATTGGAATGATTGAAGAGAATTCCACAGCTGGAGATTTGGGAAAACCAGCCTCAGCAGTGATGTTGCATTGTTAGTAACTCCAGAAACCAGCCCCCATTCCATGCCTGAGCTAGTTAGGGGTAGATTGTGCTAAGGGAAATTTAGTACAGCCTTGCTCTGATGCTGATGTCTCGTTTGAAGACTGGTGCAGTCAGTGGATTTGGAAGCATCAATCTGAACAACAGTATTTGTTGCAAAAAAACAAATTAATGAACTGAGTCAGTCAATAGTCAAGGCACTAGGTCATTATGTCCCTGAGTGAACCAGAAAGGCTTCAGCACTCCATACCAGCAAATTTGGGGGAAATGGTAAATCTCTTTAGATGTATTTGATGGGCCCAATCCTGCAAACTTTCCATGCCTCAAACTCCAGTTAATAAGCTTGTAGGATTAGATCCTAGATTCCTTCTTAACTGGTGCCAGGGTAGAGACGTGTAGCTCTTTTCCTTCATAACTGAGAGGAAGGAGTTTTTGCAATTCCAAAGCAAATGTGAAACATAAGGACTTGCCAGTGGTTTAAATTATTTTTGCACTTGATGCCAGAAAGTTGGGCTAATGTTAGGTGGTGATGAAACTGACTTCTTCTTACATATTTTTGGCCCCAGAGAAAATGGCTGGCATAGTTTCAGGAGCTCTGGTGTGGTTTTTAGTACCACAGCACCAGATTTACAGCCCTTCTCCTATATAATTAAAACCTATATTTAAAAAAAAAAAGGGGGGTGGGGGTTGGGGCTGCCTCCCAGCAGGAAGGTTGGAATAAGGAAAGCATGTAGTGAAGAGCGTCCTAGGGGAAGCTAGAGTTATTGCTTTCTTCAAAATGACCCTGGCAAAGCCCACTTTGTTATTAAAGATAAGAAGCCTGACTCTTCCAAAACTCCAGTGTGGAGCAAGTTATGTGAAACTATTAGGTGTTCCGTGGGACCCACAAATCACCGTTATTCTTGCACATAAATAGCACCTTCCATTTGGGACTCTCTCTATTTGTAGTGTGCATAGATGAACTTCCCTCGGAGCCCTCCTTTGAGGTAGGGAAGTCATTGCTATCCATGTGTAAGGATTGGGAAGGGCTGACCTGGAGCACCAAGGGGTTTTAAAGCCCAAGCTTTCGAAAGTGGCCTCTGATTTTTGGGAGGACTCCACGTTGGGTGCTCAGTTCTCTCCAATTCCTAGATGTTCTGTAGAAATGAGAGAGTTAACAGCGTCTAGTGGAAAATCCTTCCATGGGAATCCGGGGGCCAGACTGGATGGGATGGCCCCCCGGTGTATGTGAGCACAGGATCTGGCCCTCTGTGTGGAAACACAGAATGTACGGTATGTAAGTAATGTACATTTTAAATCATGTTAGTGCAGTCAGCGGTTGAATGTCCTGCACGAGCACGTATGTGCAGATCCCTTCTTTGGATGCTTGTCTGACTGGCATAGAACACGTTGAAAAACCCATCTAGTCTCGCTTTCCCTATCCCGTGGCTGTTACATACGTGTGCCCTGCAGAGAGAGGTGAACGAACGCAGCCTGAGCCCTTTTAAAGTCAAGCTAACATGCACTACAGGCCAATCTAACATGTGCTGAATTTATAGGAGCCTTCCAGTTGACTCCAATAGAAGTTGGATCAGACCCTTAGTTGTGTAGCATACTTTCAAGGGATCATATACGGTAAAATGTCCTATTTTTAAAACTGTTTGTTTATTTTATAGTAATCAAAATAATTGATGAATCAGTGCAATGAAAAAAGTCGGTATGTATTATCAGAAAACTAGATTATCAGCACACCCCTTTTCTCCCCTGGGTTAGTAATCTCCAGCGGGGTGAGTAAAAATGGAGAGCGTTTTAAAAGATTTTGGCTAGGGTGAGATCCTCACCCTACTTGGTCCCCTCTGTGCCAGTTAAAGGGCTGGCATGGCTTAAAGGGGCTCCAGAAAGTACTGGATTTGGCTGGCAGAGGAGTCCCCTGATGCAGGAAGTGTGGAAGACAGACTTGGAGCAGTCCCTCACAAGCCCAGCATAAGAGTCTGGGCTGGTGGCAGGGCTACTGCAAAGACTTGGGGCTGTGCCGTGGCCCTGAGGGCAGCCTGGGGAGGCTGCTCTTATTCAGACAAGCCCCAGGGCTGTCTTTGTTACTCCAAGGGCAGCAGAGAAGCTCATAATTGGGAGGACACAAAAGTGGCTTAAAGCCACCCTAATCTCTCCTTCCCTAGGCTGTGAGTTCTGCGTTGTACCTCGCAGAACCGCAGCAGGTAGAATCTCACAGTCTTCTACTTCTGGTGTTTTTTGACTTGGTTGCAGTTTGTTCAGCTGGGGCAATGAGAGTAGCCGAGTAAAGCTCACTTCTGTTTACAGGCATTTTTCCTGGCCTGGCTCTTGTGAGCTAGCAAAGACCATTCACTAACCATCCATACTGGCGACTGGGTCAATCCTATTAAAAGAACTGGTTTCACTGAAATGATCAAAATAATTATTTTGATTGTTGTTCACAAAATGTAAACTTTGGGGCACAGCCTGCCTGAGAGTGCCGCACCCCTTTGGAATTGTGTGCTCTGGTGTGGGACCGGTGTGTAGCTTGATTGTCTGTTGGGCTGCACCAGTCCATTTCGGGTACAATTTTCAGAAGGACACAGAGCTGAGTATTATGGAAAGAGGACCTAAATATTGGGTTTCTTCAGCTTTCATGACAAGTAATGCCTGGTGCTTTTTCTCCATTGATCTCAAAGCACTTTACGAAGGAGTTCAGTATCATTAGCCCCATTTTAAGGATGAGAAAACTGAGCACAGAGAAGCGAGGTGAGTTTCCCAAGGTCATGCAGTAGGCCAGTAGCAGACCAGGGAATAGAAGCCAGGTCTTTTGAGTCCCCATCCAGTGCTCTGTCCACTGGGGAACACTGCAAATAGGCAAGGCCATGTTCTGTGAAGAGGAATGTAGGAACTAACTTGTCTGCTGCAATGGACATCACCTTAACCTTGTGTTCTGGAAATGAAACAAAGAGGATCAAAGACATATAAAATGTTAGCATGTAGATAGTGATGATCAGATTTCATAAGTAGGGAAATCCACTCTAATGTCATGCATGAGAGATGCAGCTCTTTCCGTTTATAGGAGTGGGTGTGGGGGGGTTCATTCTGAGTAACAGTAAACGTACAAACTTAGTGTTTCAGATAAAGTCCAGCAAAGAAAAGCCAATGGGAGTTTATTACTGGCATCTTCAGGGTTGTTAAAAAAGAAGAGCCCCTGACCATCTGGATGTGTGTCTGACGCATATTCAGCTTTACCCAAATCGTAAGAGGCCTCATCCTTTCCATTATCATTCATCTCTTCCATTATCATCCACCAAATCTTTTCCCTTTCCCCAGCTCTGGCCTCCTGACTCATCCAACACTTGTGTCCTTTCCAGCGCACTTGGCTCTTTGGCTGATCCACTAGCCTGTACTTGGCGGCTTCCATTTCGACTGCCCCCCCCTTACAGTTCTCTATCTTCTTAACCTCCAGTAGCGTCCCCCCATTCCTCGCCCCAGCTATTGCTGGTACTCCACGAAACACTAGACCAGTTTGCTAGGTGAGAATCTGGCCCTGTATTTATACTTTGGGGTCTCAATTGGTTTTCTAGCTTTTCTGAACCAGTTTGTGCATCCCACCTCTTCTTGTCAGAGACTCCTCTAGCTCCATAGTTTAATATGTCCTAATATTAAGAAGTTTTTTTCCTGGTGTTCATAGTGTTTTTATAAAATTTTAGGAAAATGCATGTGTGTGCTCCCACAACTTCAAAAGGAACAGATTCTTCAGTCTGACCTTTGTGTTAGCTGCTAAATACTTTGAGGCAGGGACCATCTCTTTGTTATGTATGTACAGCACCTAGCACAATGGAGCTTCTAGATGCTTCAGTAATACAAATAATTAATACTCTTACCTTCCACTTAAACGCACAAACAATGGGTGGAATCTATGGGCTGCGTCATGCTGATGAGACTAGATGATTGTCTTGGTCCCTTCTGGCCTTAAAATGTATGTGTACTCACAAATGAGCTTGAAAATGCATTGCTGTGAAGCGATCTAATGGGAATAAGAAAAACACTGAGCACAAAGAGATCTGGGAAATACAAATAGTTAACATGCCAAAGGAACTAATAATTTTTCCCCTGTGTGGACAGATTGGCTATATCCAGATTGGAACAGAACAGTTGCTAATCCAACCTGTCAATATCTCGGAGACCTCGTTCAGTGGAAGAGAGCATTTCATCAGGCACAAACGATCCTCGAAATCCAGCTATCCTGCTAAATCCCAGGTCCCTGACCAGCCCTGCAAAGTCATATCAGGTGAGTTTGAGAAAAGGCACAAGAGATCAACTGCGTGAATGCATTACGATCATGACTGTTGTTCTGTCAAAGATCTGTGTTCACCGGTGCTCCAGCTCTGAATTTTAGGACAGTAAGAGGTAGTGATGAATGACATGGTGATGGATCATTCAGGTAGAGAGGGTTTAAAAGTCAATTATGCGAATACAAACATAAATAGACCCATATGCTGGGTATTGTTTAAATAGTTTGAAAAATAAATATGGTCTGAACCTTTGCTTAAATGGGTTTCTTCGAGTTACACTGTAATGAGAGGCTATGAAGAGTGATTATAACAGGCTAGAGAATTAGGACCCCTGGTTTCTATGCCTGTCTCCCAGCATTCTGATCTTGGACAAATCTCTTAACCTCACTGTGTCTGAGCCTCCTCCTCTCTAAGTTGGTTAGAATAATACTTGCCCGTGTCGCAAATGTGGATGCTTGTGAAGTGCTGTGAGAACCTGATTGAAGGCACTGTACACTGTTCCACTTTTAATGGGCTGATCTTACAGCATTTTAAGTCAATGGGAGTTTTGTCAATTGATGTCAATGGGAACAGGATCAGGCCCTGCCTGAGAAAACACTCTCATTTACACGCCTAGCTTTGTCATTTATTTATGAATGCCGAAGATTCAAAGGTGCCTCTTGCAGAGAGTGATCTCAGGGGATTGTTTGTAGGAGGGAAGAGGTGTGTATTCCATCCCGGATGGTACCGTTAGAGTTTGAAATGCATAATTGGACTATCTGGTAGGGGGCAGAGATGGGCAGAATTAATTTTTGGTAAAAATTGTACGAGATCTAAAAATATTCAGTTTGTCCTCCACACATTTCATCTGTCTGAATTCAGACTGTTGGATCAGCCAACCGTTAATATAAACAGTGATGCAAGTCATGCAGCCAGATGAGCAAACTTATTTCTCATTGAATTTGTAAATGCGTACGTGAATCTGAAATTGTCAAGGGTAGTGTGAACCCAGATTTCACACCTGAAATCTGGCTTGGGTTTGGTTCCTGCCACTTGATTTTTCGGCGTGACATTCTCAGCAAATTTTGGCTTATCTATTTTGGGAGTAAAGATCTTTTAAAATGGCTGCTCACAAAAACTGGTTTCCTTTTGATCATTTAAGATAAATGAAATGTCCTATTCAGATGTCCCACTTTCCTGGAGATGAGCCTCAGGAAGCTTCCTGTCTCTCTCTAGCCCTGTGAACCCAGGCTGGAGCTCCAATGTGGTGGACTCCTCCTTTGCAGCAGCCTCCTTAGCAAACAATTTTCAATGCCTCTGTATTTGTATCTTTGGAGTCAGTTTGGTGTGTGTGCATGTGTCTATCTTCTGTGGGGTTTATAGGCTTTAACTGGAGGATAGTGTCTGAACCAGAACCCCAATCCAACCCCCTGGGGATGATGGTTATTTGAAATCAGCCCTAGATCTGGCTCTTGTGAATAGAGCATCTCTCTCTCTAAGGTGCTGAACCCGACTCCTAGTGCCCCTTAACTAGTTGGGGTTTGGATTCTGAACCCAAATTGTGTCCTCATTCCTATCTCTGGAATCCCCATATACATGGATGACTGAGGGAGGAGAGGGTCTGCTGAAATCACTGGGTGTTCGGGAAGTTCGGAATTGCCAGTCTTTGATGATAACAGAGTGGGATAATGTTAGAACTATTTTTTTTATTAAACGAAAAGGAGGACCGAAGAGGATGTAATTATATAAGCAACAAACCCCAGGTTCTCCACTGGGATAAGAGAGAGCAAGAATCTCATTTAATCAGTGGCACTTGTGTTCTTAGTTAACATTTCTCTGCCTATTGATATCCCCCCCCCCCCGCTCTTTCCTCCTACCCCTTTTTCACCTCTTCAGTCACCCCAGAGGAATAAAAGCCAAAAGCTTGGGTAAGTGTATCCACTTGGAGAGTTTTGTGCCTATGAGCCCCTGCAAATCTTCTCAGCCTTTCAGTATGTAGCAGCTGTAGTGAAAACATTGAATAAATGCAGCTGTTCCCACTGCCCGTCTTACCTCCCCCCCCCCCCCGCGGTTCTATTTTTTGTTGGATGTTAATAAGAAAACAGCTGGTGATATTAAAATACCCTCAGAGATTCCAAGAAGATGTATGAATGTTTAGTGACCATGTCCTGGCTCCTCCCAGTTTTAAGACCTAGGGCCAGATCTTCAGCGAGTGTAAACTGATGTAGCATGGACTTCAGTGGAGCTCTGTCCATTTACACTAGCTGGGGATCTGTCCTAGAAGGCTGAACGCACAGATTTCTTACATACTCTGCCAAGCCCGGTCTCATTTCATGAGCGGCACTATGTTCCTACATGTTTTGTTCCCCTTACCTCTTCCCCTGCTCCCCATCATTCCTGCTCCCCACTTCTTGTACTGGGTGAACTCTGTGCTGGGTGGAGCAGTGGCAGACAACTGCTCATGCTGCGTGCACTCTCTGACGCTATGTTGCTGTGGGGCAGTCAGGGAAGCAGTAGACGTGGGAGTTGAGGTGCTCAGGAGTAGGGTTGATCAGGTACTCTGGGCAGAGTAGAGAAGATCAGGAGCTGGAGCTGCTATGGGACATTCAGGGAGGTGGCAGCCATGAAGGTCACTGATATTGAAACCAGCAGGCTGTAGGAAAGGCAGTTGCGGTTAGACTTGAGGAGCTGGAAGGATTGTAGTGAGGTGGACAGAGGGCCTCAGAAAGTTTGCATATCCTCTTGTTAAAGGATGCCGTGTTTGGGGATTTAACCTTTGGACCTTAGCTCATTAATTTGGATTGTCTGGTCAGTACTGGTTGCTGATTGTTGACAGAACGCGGTTTAAAGCAGAGACCCTGTTTTCTCTCGTGTGTTGTACAGAGCTGAGCTCTTACCTCACCAGCGGCGGTTGTTGTGATGGGTTCAGACCCCAAAACCCTGGCTCCAAACCCCCTGAACTGTGGGGAGAGCAAGATCTGGATCAGAATTTGGCAGCTTGGGATCATCCCTAGTGAGGCTGACATGTCTCATGCCAGAGGTTGCTCTTGCACATGCAGCATTTTGGACCTCTCAGGCTTTCCAGAAAAGATTTGACAGCTACGTGCTGTAGTTACTGCATCTCTATTACTTACAGCAAATACAGTATTTACTAACACAGGATAAAATATGATCATCCATAGTTTTAAACTGTGCTTGTCAGGAAAACAGCCTGTGTGCGTGCGGTGTTGCACATTACAACTCATTAGTCAGCTACACCTTCATTCTTCTAGTCCACTGAGACGCAGTGGGCTGCCACTGCAAAATTAAAGCCATTTCTGCATGGTGCAGCGCTCCCTTCGCTCATTTGCTCCATTGGAGTCCAGGGAGCGCAGAACTTTGCAATACTGGGCTCCTCGTTTATTTACAGCCTTTTGACGGTGATCAGTACCATCGTATCTGAGCACCTTGCAGACCTTTGCGAATCTACCCTCGCAACGTTCCGGTGAGGTAGGTCAGTGTCAACCCCATGAGGGAGATTAAGAGCCTGATCCAAACCTGTTGAAGTTGATGGAAAGTCTCCCATTGACTTAATGGGCTTCGGATCTGATCCTAGGTGACCTGCCCCAGGTCACCCAGGGAGTCTGTGACAGCTGGGAACAGCCCCAACCTCTTGAATCCCAGTCCTGGACGTTGACCACAAGACTGTCCTTCCGCTCTGGCAAGGTTCATCTTGTGTTCCACATTACGGGACTGAGTTTGCAAACCTGCCAGGTGGACGTGCAGCTCAAATGTACAATGTAGGAATCTTCTACTGGTTCAAGCAGCCACTGCCACAAGTTGAATGTCAGAAAATAAGGGAATTGCTCATGGGCCTTCCTGCTAAAAAGCAAACTCCTGAATGTTTTTCATTGTTGCAGGAAAGAAATGTAAGTCATGGTTGTTAATAGGCTTAGCACACTAATGACCTAATTGACTTCTGTCTGGTTTGGATTAACTTTTGTGCACAAGGAGTTTAGAAACAGAAAAAAAAAATAATCCTCTCTGCCACACCGAGGTCCGTTCCTAGTGAAACAGCATGGAAAGGATATGTGAGCGGCTTGCTTCCAAGCTTTCTCATGGGAATAAAAGACTTCATTACTAAGAACTGGAACTAAGGAACTGTCCAGATTTCCATTAGGGACCCCAGTTTGCTTGTAACTTGGCTGTCAAATATGACACAGGCTGAAATTTGGCATGCACGGTCAGAGACTGCAAGTGTTTAAGAAATATGTTTAGACACTATACATTTTATATATACTCACATAGCGTGGAACTATATATTGTGTATACATACCAACACTCACGCATGTATAAATATGAATTAAAGGGTTTATTGTTTTTAAGCTCTGGGAGTGCCATGGTTTTGAATATTTACCAATTCTTAGTTGTTTTTTGTGTGTTCTTAGAACTTATCAAAGCTGCTCTTTTTTTTAGTTTTTCCTTCCGAACCTTTGTAACTCGGCGGACAGTAAAGTGAACTAGTGCCACTTTAGATTTATTATTTTTTTGGGGAGGGGAGGGGGGTGTAAAAAAATAAGTAAAGCTTCAGATGATAAGGTTTTAAATAGCACTGATTCTACCTCTCAACGTTTCCAAAGGGTAAAGCGGGATGGGTCCTGCTCCCAGGGAATGGGAGGTCTTGGGGGAGGGGGGGGTCAGGTGCTGCCCCCCCCCCAGGAGGGAGGCCTGAGGCGGAATGGCAGAGTGAAATTGCTCTATGCTCACCCCATAGCGGCGGCTCCTGTCTCCTGGGGCTGGCTGGGCTTGTCTCCTGGAGCCAGGCTTTGCTACCTGGCACGGGGTCACATTGTAATGCCATTGAGGTTTGGCCCGGCCCCCACACCCCATGCTGGAGGGTCAGCTGGGCTAAATTTGAGGGAGCTGCACTGCAGCCTGGGGCACATATTCAAGCACCACTCCTTCAAATTTGGCCCAGCTGCCCTCCTGTTAGTGGGGGCTAGGGCTAAACCTGAGCAGCGCTGTGACCTTGCGCACC